AACTTGACTCTATTCCACTTGAAATTCGACACTCGTTTGTTTTTCAATGCGACGGCAAGATGGCCGCTCATAAGGCCATAAACACAGGGTTATTCATCTATTTTTTTATTATTTAGTTAGAAATATTTTGTTTCACGAATAGGTACAATTTATTCTTATATTCGTAAACAAGATATATATTTATCATATTATATAACACATATTTATTTGAAACCCATATTTATTATATTTAGGTATATAATATATATTCTTATATGCAACACATTTTTATTATATTTGAAATGATAAGTATTTATTCGATAATCAAATTAAAATTTCTTTATTCATTTTAAAAGAAACAAAAAAAACACTACTACCGGTTCGGAAAAAACCACTGACCTGAGAAGAACCGGCGAAAGAAACTCAGCGGGACATTTTTTTAAAATATTTTTTTATGAAATATAATATGCGAGTTTATATAAAAAAGTTAAATTTAAAACTAAAACAAAGTAACAATTTATATAATATGTGAACTAATATTATATGTAATAAAAAAATACATTTCCAAAATAAAAAAACATAATTTCTAAAAAAAATAATTTCTATGGCTTATGATACGCCTTAAAACAACCGTCGATGCACAGGTTTACGTCGCACTCCTCGCACTTCCATACGGTCCTGGTTTTTTTTGGGCACATCCAACAACAAGTGTGTTTCGACCCCGTACGAATGGGAAAGTGGTTCGAAGTTACTATAGGTCTGTCATGCGTTTTATGTCGACTGTTTCTTCTACTTTGAGTCGTCGTCAACTGTCCTGTCGTATTCGATCTAACGTTAAACAGTCGGCGTTCCATCGTTAGATCGATCTGTCGATGTCGTATAAGTAACTTTTCCGCCAGTATAATACGAAATTGGCGATGTGATATTTGCCGGTTAAAACTGGAAAATATCACAAAACAGTTAAAAATTGCCGCATTATACATTCTCCGGAAAAGTTTCTTATACCACACCCTATTCCTAATACGTTCCATAGGATGAGCCGACAGGAATTGGTCTTTCCTATCAACTCCCCCCATCCTCTTGTTGTAATCGAGGACGATGCTTGGTTTGTATTTCTGTCTGTTATATTTGTCGTGAGTCCCGATTTGAAGATTGTGGTATGTAGAGATCATACTAACTAAATTAGCGTCTCGCCATACCAAAATCGACAGATCGGAACAGTACGTGGCCACTGCTTCACCTCGTCGTAAATCTGTCTTTGTCAAAGTCTTGATCGAATCAGGAACGAATTCTCGATTCAATCTCAATGTTCCGTAGCAGTCTGTCTTCTGTTTTTTTAAAGTCCGTAGTAATAATGGACTTGTAAAAATTGTCCATTATTACAGTATGTCCAAGGTGAAGTAGTGGTTGGATTAATTTATACACAATTACGGCAGTAGCGCTCATGGGACGGTCTGCGCTTCCACCAGTCGTAAGTCTGTCGCTAGTCCCGTCATCGTCAAATCTGTCAAAAGCATCGTTCCCGATTGGTCTGTCATTTGTCAGTTCTAATTCTGTATCCCGTCCGTCGATTCCGTCAGTAGTCAATGTCGGCTTGTCTTTTCCAGCATATACAAAGAACTTCCAGAGATAGCCACTTGAAGATTCGCACAGCTCATACGTCTTCACTCCGACCTGTGCGACCTTCGACGAAATCTTCTGAGCAAAACTAAGTCTCCCATTCCACTTCAGAAGAGATTCGTCAATGACTATCTCTTGTGAAGGCATGTATAGGCTGGAAAATTTAGCGTTAAAGTAGTCAATCACGGGTCGTATTTTACAAAGTCTGGTCGTGTCCTGCAAAGTGTCATTGTTGACGAAATGAAGAAAACTTTTTAACAATAAAAAACGATTGTACGACATGATTTTGGAAAAGTACTGGAATGTACCAAAGCCATTAAAAGAAAAATATCCTGCTTCCTCCGTCGAAAGATATAGACCCTGTAATATTAATATTGCTAAAAAGGTCAACATTTCGTCTCTGTTTGTAGGAGACCAACGGTTGAAACGGGAATGCGGAGCTAGCTTGTTTAGTTCTCGCATTAAAGATATCTTTTGCTCCGCATTCCTGTTGGTCTCCGTACACAAAAGGTCAATAAAGTCCATGTCAAAAGTCCTGTCAAAAATGTCTGTCGGTTCGGTTTGGTCCGTCAAATTAAAAGTCGGTCCAGATGTACCTGTGAATGTTTCACGTCGTCCCTGAAAAGTCTCTCTGTCCTTACTCCAAGCGAAAGTGTAACAATCATCAGGCGCGATATCGCGTAATGCTGCATCATTAGCGACATCTTCCCTCTGTAACACTTCCTCTTGCAGTTCTGTTAGGTCACTGTTACATGCCGGTTCGTCTGTGGTAAAGTCAAAAAATGGGATAGCAGAATTGTCATTGTCAACGTCAACTTCTAACTCGTCCCCGCTTTTACATACGTCTGCTAACCAGTTTTCTACGTCAATATAATAGTCGTGGTCGATGACACCTGGAACAACATAATACGACATAAATACTTTGATATGCAGAAACGTATTTGATTAACGTACATTAGTTATTTTTGATCTGTATTATGCACTAGTATATTTTTTAATGTTATACATCTGCAACACCCGATGGCTTGCTGATGTGTTGACAACCTTTAAAAATGCGAACGCGGATATAACATAACCAGAAGAAACACGAAATTTTCATACTTTCACTTCACTCCGGTGTTCTGTAAGGATATGGTACCCCGACGAGCCTACCCATTCGTGCAACAGAAGGTGTTGCGTGGCCTTATTACAGTTACCAAATTTAATGTATTATTACTGATGTTAGATGGCCCCGGTGTACAAGGCGAGGTTGATGCAGCCAGTACAACTTCTGCACCAATATCTAGAAAAATAAAAACAGGATAGTTATTATTATTATTACTTATTACAAATTTATTCTTATCTAATCCGAATCCGAAGATGTCATCTGCTGGTACGGTCTTTTAAGCGACCTCCTCATCATGACATAGGGATTTGGAGAGAAAGGACTAGGAGAGCTATAAGCCGAGACTGTTTCGGCGTCGGACATACCCCCCATTCCGTCTTCGGAGAGTGACGATTCGTAAACTGTAACAAACGGACTTTTGTAGAACACATTTTTTTTAAGTTTTATAATGATACCGAATTACCCATAACATACCATCTTCGAGAGAAACATTTGCTCGGCAGGAAGACCGGGCCAACCCAGAAGTCGTGGCGGGTTCTATGGGAAAATGTTGAATAAGTCTTAATAAAGCATATATTAAACAAGAACATACGTAAAATAGAATGTTGTGTAAAATAAATATCAAACGGGACGTCGACGCTTCAACCTCAGCTAGGTTAAGTTCTAGAACAAACAATTTATTTAGTACTAGCTGCTGCCCGCGCCTACGTCTGCATAGAATAGGCTGAAGGCGTAACATTCAGACAGAAATATATATATATACATAAAAAATGTATATAAATTATACCCTATGTCTTATTCTGATGTATAAGCTATATCATTGTAAAGTTTAATTAGAATCTATTTAGTAGTATTTGCGAGAAAACGTAACAAACATCCATCCATACATACAAACTTTCGCGTTTATAATATTAGTAAGGATGTATGAAGTATGAATCACCTGTGTGAAATAAAAATCTTACCAGAAAAATCAGCTTCTCTGGACGTCGAGACCACGACCTGAGTTGGTTCTACGGGGTTTAATTCTGCAACAAAAATGTTACGATATAGATTTTTTTTATTCATTTTGTTTGTTCATTAAACAACAAAATACTACTTGATTCTGAAATAATCATCTAACCGTCACATAGCTCGTCGACTGGTCTGGCAACCATTACGCATTGCTGACGTTCTGGAGATGCCCGCCTGGAAAATTAATAACTTATTAATCAAGAATTAAGCAAATAATTATTATATTTGAAGCCAAGTTGACAGTTTCGACTTCAGAGAAGTGATTGGAAGAAACAAAAAAATACTTTGTTTGCCGTTTGCGAGGTGGCGCATCTGGCAACAGCATCCGCTCCAAACCAGAACGTCGCTTTAGCTCTAGGTGCTGTCGACGAGCTTCCGTAGATAACGCTGCCATCCGTCGCGTGTCCGCCTTCCTCGCCAATTTCATCTCCCGAAGAGAATCCGCCACTGCCGAACTACAAAAAAATAAACAGCTGAATTCCAAATGAGATCTTTTGAGAAAAATGAGAAAAAATGAGATATTCTTTGAGTAAACTGAAATATTAAACGTAAATTGTAAATTTTTAGATACATCTGATATAGTTTCGAGCCCAGATTATTAATAATTAATATGGTTGTTTCAAATTAAGTAGACGCAGCTTCGAATCCCATGGCGTCGTAAGTTTTTTTCATTTATCTACAATCTTTTTTTTACTTTCAGCAAATAAGTAAATGTATCAGACTATACATGTCCCACTGCTGAGCAAAGGCCTCCTCTGTACAGAGGGTATTAGGGCATAGTCCACCAAGCGGCCCCACTGCGGATTTGCTCTCCGGATTGGCGGAGTTAACATATTTTCGAAATATTTTTCTTTGTTATTATTTCGAAAATATGCAGGTTACCTCACGATGTTTTCCTTCTCCGCAGAGCACGTGATAATTCGGCACTTTAAATTAACAATTTCATTGGTGCCGGCACCGGGGATAGAACTCGGGTTGCTCGAGTATATTGTTAATTAAAGGCAAGGGCCCGAACAGTGAGCTATCACGGCCCATCTGAGCTATCTTTAGCAATAAAATTAAAAAATAAAAGATCTTAAAAAATATTCTTAACAATTATTAGGTAAAAAGAAAAAAGAAAATTACACTTGTTCATCTCGCCCTCTCTTTCTCCCACGTCCTCCTCGTCCTCGAACTTGCCCCACTCCTTGAGCGCTTGTAGTGCTAAAATAAATTTTAATATTAATTAAATTTTATCACTGTTTCCAAAGAATAAAATGTTAATATAGAACACTCACGGTTACGGATGTGACATTGAGAGAAAAAAATCGATTAATTAAAAATCGATTACTAAATATTAATCGATTTTGTAAAATAATTTAATCAGAAGAAATAATAACCGATTTTTAAAAAATCGATTATTTTCTATTATTCTTAAAATCCTGCAATAAAACTTAAAAGACATAAGTATAGTGTTCACAGTTTACCAGAATCAAAATCAAAATGAGTAGTATAAAAAATAACCTTAACGACAACATTGATTTCATAACAAAAATACATTATGAACACCACCGTATTAGAAATTCCTGCTTTACTGTGTAAATACATTAACCTATTCACGAGCACTAAAACTGTTCGCTGAAAGCATCAATAGAGTGACCACTCTTAACGGGATAAACAAACAATGTTAGAATTGATATTTTTCTGGTTATTTCTTGTCAAAATAAAATATTTATATATTTTTTTTGAATTATGGAATGCTTAATTAACATAATGTCTAAGCATGTACTTAGTCTAAAAAAATCACCCTGTATACATAGATGGCTGTTAACAAAAGTCGTTTAAAAAGTTAATTTGATATAATCGATTTATTATAATTTTTAAAAATCGATTATACGAATAAAAATAATCGATTAATATGAAAATCGATTATTTTTTCACATTCCTACTCACGGTTGTCCTGGCATCGCCACCTCCACGACTCCTCTACGTCCACCTCCTCGTCCTCGTCCTCGAACTTCCCTTGCGCCTTGATCACTCGCAGTAATAAAATATATATTAATATTAATTCAATTTTATCATTCTGTTTCTAAAGAATAAAAGTTAATGTAGAAAACTCACGGTTGTCCTGGCATCGCCACCTCCACGACTCCTCTACGTCCACCTCCTCGACCTCGTCCTCGAACTTGCCTTTCTACGCCTTGATCACTTGCAGCAATAAAATAAATTTTAATATTAATTTAATTTTATCACTCTGTTTCCAAAGAATAAAAGTTAATATAGAAAATTCACGGTCGTCCTGGCATCGCCTCCACGACTCCTCCACGTCCTCGTCCTTGTCCCATTCCGTCTTGAGCACTTGTAGTGTTAAAATATATTTGAATTTACTTTTATCACTCTGATTCCAAATAATAAAATGTTAAAATGGAGGGTAAATATTTTTCTAATCTCGCAATTTTACGGTAAATAATTTTTTTTATTACTTTGCGCGGTAAAAATCAAACAATTCGTCTCGTTTTTCAAGCTCGAAAATTTTGTTTTTAATCGATAGAGAAATGTTAATAAGGAAATATTATATATGTTATAAACCATGAAAAACACTAGATAACGAGAAAAAATTAACGAAGTTTTTAAATTTCATACAACTGAAATCCGCCATTACTTTGCGTCCAATGTAATGAACATTATATCAATATTTATATAAATATATCATAATACATTATAACAATAGGTTTATATTTGTTAGAGATTTCATAACATCCCGCTAAGGATTACTGGCCACTTACAGATAACAGGTGTTACATTTGAAAACTGTACTGTTCCAGTGTGTGTCAATCGCAGTCGAGAGAAAAACATCTTTGTAAAAAAAAACTGTCTTTCTATAATGATGTATTATCATGTTCATTTAATATATTTTTATTATTCTATGTGTCAATAATTTATCTTCTGAATTCATCATTGATTGGGAATAAATCTTTCCCATCAGGGTTATGGGCCAAGATGAATACTAGTGAAAATATGGAAATGTCGCATGATGGATATAAAAATGAAAATTCGAGTACAGAAATACGAAGTGCGGGCGTTAATGCTGCGTATATTGAAAAATTAGTAGGAAGCTCTAATTTTCACACATGGAAGTTTGATATGGAGTTGTATCTAACGGATGATGATTTGTGGAAATATACGCAAGTGTCACCACAGCCGGAGGATGTAGCAGGCATTCGTAGAGACCAAAAAGCACGGGCTCGAATCGGTTTGATGGTGGATCAGAGATGTCGCACCTTGATAAGAAAGACAAAGACGGCAAAAGAGGCCTGGGAGGCGCTAAGCAAAGCCTATGAGGACAAGGGCATAAATAACAAATGTCGATTGTTGGGCAGATTAGTTAGCATGAGATTGGAGCAATTTCAAACAATTGAAAAATATGTGACAGCCATACTGTCAGTGTCACAGCAACTTAGTGACATTGGTAAAGATGTTGATGATGAGATTCTGGCTACATTGATGCTTCAAGGTCTCCCAAAGAAGTATGAACCATTGAAGATGGCTATTGAAAATAGTAATATAACTATTACTACAGACTATGTCAAAACGAAGTTATACAACCTAAGCGATGAGAGCACACCATCAACGAGCAAGAAGAAAGGGAAAGGAAAATTCAAAGCAAACCAGAAAGCTAAGGCGATGAAATGCTTTATATGTGAAGGAAATCACAAAGCGGCTGAATGCCCTGACAATCCTAACAGAAGAAAAAATTATTCGGCATCAGCAAATGTTTTTTGCGACCAGTGGTCAAGGATCTTCAGCGGAATGGGTGATTGACTCGGGAGCGAGTTCACATATGACAAATGATAAAGGTTGGCTGAGGAATTATGTGGCGTATGAATCGAAGAGAGAGATTGCATGCGCGGATGGTGGTAAGGTGTATGGCTTAGGAATTGGTGATGTAGTTGATGTGGATGGGAGCATAAGAGTGAGAGACGCTATGTATGCTCCTGACTTGGCTACAAATTTACTAAGCGTAAATACGTTAGTCAAGAGAGGTAGAGTTGTAGTTTTTTCAAACAGAGGTTGTGAAATCTACAATTCGGATGATTGCGAGGTGAATGGATCAGTTGTGGCTGGTGACTGTTGGGTAGATAATGGCATTTATAAACTTAATCCTTTTCAACAGGGCACTATAGCACTAGTCTCCAGTATGCAGAAGGACGATCAACTGATGTTGTGGCATCGGAGGATGGGTCATCTAGGAGTAAGCAATCTTAAACTTTTGAGAGACAAACTGGCAGATGGGGTAAATTTTCTAAATTCTAATAGTAACTTAGAATGTGTATCTTGTCTGATGGGTAAGCAAACAAGGCAACCTTTTCCAAAGCGTAAGGTTAAAAGAGCTAGTGAAGTACTTGAGTTAGTACATTCTGATATTTGTGGGCCAATGAGTATCAACTCTATGTCGGGGTACAGATATTTTATGACACTTATAGATGATAAGACAAGGAAAACTTTTGTCTACTTATTGAAGAATAAGAGCGAAGCTGTTGAGAAAATAAAAGAATTTAAAGTTTTTGCAGAGAGGCAAACAGAGAAGAAGCTGAAGTCAATCCGAACAGACAACGGCAAAGAATATGTGAACAATGAAATGAAAAGTTTCACTAAGAAGTACGGTATAGTTCATCAACTTACTGTCGAGTATACCCCTGAGCAGAATGGGGTGGCAGAACGTGCAAATAGAACTCTCATGGAAAAAGCTAGGTGTATGCTGCATGAGGCAGGATTAGAAAAACGCTACTGGGCAGAGGCTCTTGTATATGCAGTTTTTCTTAAAAATAGGTCGCCTACGAAGGCTCTCAAGGATAAAACACCTGAAGAAGCTTGGACGGGAAGAAAGGTGAACCTAGGCTTCGTGAAAGTTTTTGGGTGTAAGGCCTACACGCACGTTCCTGACCAAAAGAGGCGCAAGCTAGATCCAAGAAGTAAGGAGCTTATACTTTTAGGATACTGCGAAAATTCCAAAGCGTACAGACTGTTGGATCCTGTTTCTGGAAATCTTCATAAGGCAAGAGATGTAGTATTTTTTGAGAATAATATAGTTTCACGGAAACAACCATCTAGTGAGATTTTGACTATTAGACAAAATTCTGCTTCTCATCAAAGACCGATTCCGGAGTTCACTGTGGTACCACTAACAAGTACTCAATCAACGGAGGAGGTGGTCTGTGGAGAAGAGATAGAGGATGGTTGTAGAAATGAAACAGAGAGACACCTCTCAGGGAACGGAGGAGGTATTATGATGCCTGAGTCAGAGGATATTGGAGCTAATATAGAACAGGACAGAACAGGTGCTGTTTCTTCAGTTACGGAGGAGACTGAAGACAGAGATGATACTGAACAATGGTATCTGAGTTCCGATGCACCCGTTTCGGAGGAGAATGATCATAGAGGTGATCAAACGGATGCACGGAGATACCCTATGAGAAACAGAAAGCCACGACAATTCCCTGATCACGTTCTATATCAAGCAGTTCTACCCGGAGAGAGTGGTTTTGGTTTGGAGGAACCTATAAATGTCAGAGAAGCACTCGCAGGGACAGACAGCTTACTTTGGCGTGAGGCTATTAAGGAAGAATTGGATGCTCTTCACAAGAATCGAACTTGGCAGCTAGTAAAGAGAGAGCCAAAACAAAACGTGATCGATAGCAAGTGGGTTCTTAAAGTTAAGACTGAAGCTGGAAACAAGCAACGATATAAGGCAAGGCTTGTAGCGAGGGGCTTCAAACAACGCGGAGGTGTTGATTACTTTGAGACATATTCACCTGTGATCAGGCATAGTTCATTGCGTTTTCTGTTGGCAATGGCTGCCGAGAATAAATTAAAAATTGATCAAATGGATGTGAAGACCGCTTTTCTTAATGGGTACATTGAAGAGACAGTGTACATGAAGCAACCTGAAGGTTTTGAGGAGAAGGGAAAAGAGGATTACGTGTGCTTACTGAAAAGGTCGTTGTACGGTTTGAAGCAGGCCCCCAAGAGCTTGGAATCAAAGGTTGGACTCAGCACTGAAACAGTTGAAGTTCACTCAGCTAGACAACGAACCATGTGTTTATATAAGGAGAAGTCAACACAGGCTAATAATCCTAGCGGTGTACGTTGATGATCTATTGATTTTTTGGAACAATAAAGCAGAGATGCAGCAAGTCAAGAAGGAGTTAAGAGATACCTTCGAGATGCGTGATCTTGGTAAAGCGGATTTGTTTCTGGGAATGCGTCTACAACAAACTGAAGATGACATTACACTAGATCAGGAAGGCTATATAGAGAAAATATTAGCCAGGTTTAACATGCAGGACTGCAAACCTGTTTCTACACCTCTCATTGCTGGTTATAGGTTGACCAAACCGGTGGAAACAAATTATGAGCCGCCTAATAACATTCCTTATCCAGAATTAGTAGGTTCTATAATGTATTTGGCAGTCTGCACAAGACCAGATGTAGCTTTTGCAATAAGTTACTTGAGTCAGTTTAATAGTTGCTATGGAGAGCAACATTGGCAGACACTAAAAAGAGTTCTTCGCTATCTTAAACGCACCAAAAGCCTGGGGCTGGTGTTTTTAAACAAAGTGGAAGAGATTTAGAAGGGTTTGTTGATGCAGATCATGCGGGTGATGTAACAGATCGCAAGTCCTATTCAGGTTATATTTTTAAATTTGGGTCTGCACCTGTGAGTTGGGAAAGCAGAAAACAAACAGAAGTTGCTTTATCAAGTGCAGAAGCGGAATATATTAGTTTGTCAAATGCTGCAAGAGAAGCAGTTTTCCTTAAGAGGTTATTTGGAGAAATAACTGGACTTAACAAGACTATTAAGCTGAGTAGTGATAGTCAGTCTGCAATAGCTATGGCAAACAGTGAGGACTCTTGCCATAAGAGGTCAAAGCACATTGACGTTAGAGTTCACTTTATCAGAGAGGCACTTCGCAACAAAGTGATCAGTCTGAAGTATCTGGGAACAGAGTCGATGGTAGCTGACATATTCACAAAGGCCCTGCCAAGAGGAAAGTTTGAGTTATGTTTGAGAGGCATGGGTATGAATTTGTGTAAGTGTTGAGTGTGTATCGAATGAGTGATTGAGTGGCCTTATGAGTAGCGCAATGTTACGGAGGAGTGTTAGAGATTTCATAACATTCCGCTAAGGATTACTGGCCACTTACAGATAACAGGTGTTACATTTGAAAATTGTACTGTTCCAGTGTGTGTCAATCGCAGTCGAGAGAAAAACATCTTTGTAAAAAAAAACTGTCTTTCTATAATTATGTATTTCGTGTTAATTTAATATATTTTTATTATTCTATGTGTCAATAATTTATCTTCATTGAATTCATCATTGATTGGGAATAAATCTTTCCCATCAATATTTTAAGTTTAAAACTGTTTTATTGTAAATGAGTAAAGAAGACTTGTTTAGTTGTATAAACTTTATTTGATCACTTACATGATATGCACGTTGGGCGTTGACAAGAATAAGAAGGAAGTAATATCTATGAACGACCCAATATATAGTAATAATCATAGACAATAATGTTACATGCCCCTTTTTTACAAATGAAAATAACTATCGTTGACATTTGACAATGACAAGTAATTTGTTTGTTTGTTAACAATTTTTAAAAACAATTAAATTAACAATCAAAGCTTAAAACTAATGAAATGAGGGAAATATCTTTTATTGACTAACATATAGTTTTAATTTTTAAATACATTTCCCTAAAAGTGAAATGAATGTGACAATCTTATACAATGAAATACAATGAAGTGTTTACAAACTTATTCTTATAACTTTGAACTAAAATACAAATTATAAATATAACACATTTCTTTTCTTTATTAATCTTCCTCGACTACTATACTTAGGTGGCTGAGTATTACTATGATTTACATTTTCTTTTGACTTAAAATAACTTGTTACAATCATACTATCATCCTCTTTATCTAACAAAGAATTATTTGACATATTAATATTACTAGGCTTAGTGTGATTGTCTGACTCTGATGGTATGTATGCTGATTGTGATGATTGTTTGTTGTATCTTTGACGGATGTGTTGTGAATTCCTTCTGTAAGTAGTGCCATATTCATCTTTTATAATATATGAACGGGGAAAGTTGGACTTTGAGACAATAGTACCTCTTGACCAAGAAATACCTTTAGGATTCTTTTTGAAATATACTAAATCTTTATCATTAAAATCTGAATACTGATGAGAATTTTTATCATAATAGAACTTTGATTTATCTATGTTTTTGTGTTTGTTTTTTGTGAATGTATTGAAAATTTTACAACTTTAGGTTTTAAATTAGCTATTTTAGAAGGTAATTTGGTTCTTAGCTGACGCGACATTAACAGTTGTGAAGGGGAATTTATGTTTCCTCTAGGTGTTGTTCTGTGTTGTAAAAGTCCTAAATAATAATCTGTATTTGACTCATCACATTTTCTAAAAATATTTTTTATAGTTTACAGAGACTTCTGCTAGACCGTTTGATCTGGGGTAATGAGGACTTGACATTATGTGTTGAATATCCCAATCATATAAGAAATTTTTAAAATCAGCTGAATTATAAGGGGGACCACCATCACTGACTAATTGTAAAGGAATTCCATGTCGAGCAAATATTGATTTTAATTGTGTAATTACTGTTGAACTTCTACTATCATTGTTCAAATAAGCTATTTCAATGTAATTTGAATAGTAGTCTACAACTAATAAGTATTTCTTTCCTTTATAATCAAACAAATCAGTTGCTACTTTTTGCCATGGATATAAAGGTTGTTCATGTGACAAGAGTGGTTCTTTTATTTTATTAGGACTATACATAAGGCATACATCACATTGCTTTATTAAGTCATCGATTTCATGATTCATGTTTGGCCAATAAACTGTTCCTCGGGCTAAGTTTTTTGTTTTTTCCATGCCCTGATGACCTTCATGTAAAATAGAAAGAATTTCTCGTCTCTCATTGATGTTGGAATTACTACTGACTGAGACTTAAAAATTATATCTTGAATAATATGTAAATCTTCTTTTATATTCCAATAAGAAAGAACTTTTGGATCACAATTTTGTTTGCTATTAGGCCAACCATTTTTACAATATTCTTTTATTTTTTGTAAAATTATGTCATTATTATGTATGAAACAATATTTTATCTAGTTTTTCTTTAGTTATAGCTAAATTTGAGGTAAGTAAATTGACATGAATTTCTATATTGTCCTCTAGTTCTTCTAAACTTGTTAAGTCTTTAATTGAATTGTCTACTGGGGAACGTGAAAGTGTATCTGCAATATACATTTCTGTGCCTTTTTTATATGTAACAATTAAATGGTATGCTTGTAATGTAATCATCATTCTTTGCAATCTAGTAGGAACATCTGACAGAGGCTTTTTAAAAAGAGTAACTAATGGCTGATGATCAGTTTCTACGAAGATAGGTTTACCAAATATATATTGGTGGAACTTTTTGCATCCAAAAACTATAGCATATAATTCTTTTTCAATCTGAGCATATTGCTCTTGACAAGAAGTTAATGACTTTGAGGCATATGCAATAGGATTTTTTTCATGACATATTACTGCTCCTACAGCATTTTTTGAAGCATCAGCTGACATTCTTATAGGCTTATTTATATTATAATGAACTAATACTGGAGCCTGACATATTAATGATTTTAATTTTATAAATTCTTGCTCATGTGACTCTGTCCATTGCCACATATTTTGTTTTTTAAGTAAAGCTCGAAGTAAATTAGTTTTTTCTGCTAAATTAGAAATGAAGCTACCTAGATAATTTATCATTCCTAAGAAGCGTTGAAGCTCTTTGACATTTGTTGGACTTTTCATATTAATTATAGCTTCTATTTTAGACTTATCAGGGGAAACACCATTTTTATTAAAAATATGTCCTACATAGCACACTTCGGGGACTCCAAAAGAACATTTTGTTTTATTAAATTTTATGTTTGCTTCTTGGGCCCTTTTAAAAACAGCTTCAAGACGTTGATTATGTTCAGACTCTGAAGAAGCAAATACAAGGATATCATCAATGAATGTTATTACACCGGGAAGACCTTCAAATGTTTCAGACATTATTCTATGAAATATTTCTCCGCTAGAATTAATACCATATGGAAGACGAAGAAATTTGTACCTTCCATAAGGTGTGTTAAATGTGCACAGGTCACTACTTTCATCATCTAATTTTATAATCCAGTATCCCGAGTTAGCATCTAATTTAGAAAATATTGTAGCACCGGCTATTTTAGAACGTAAGTCATCAAATGTAGGATAAGGATAATGAGGTCTTTGAATTGCTAAATTTAAATTTCTCGGATCTAGGCATATACGTAATTTACCATTAGGTTTTTGTACTAGAACAATAGAACTCACCCATTTAGTTGGTTTTGTCACTTTTTCAATAACATGTAATTTTCCATTTCATCTAACTCTTGTTTTAATCTATCTCTAAGAGAATAGGGAATCCTACGAACTGGGCAGATTTTTGGAGGAATACTAGGATCAACATCTAAATGTGCTTCTTTGACTAAACATCCTAACCCTGTGAACATTGATGAATACTCATTAAGAATGTTTTGTACTGACCTTGACTGTTGTTGCTTATTTTCTGTTAAAGTAAATAATCTTTGTACTATACCCATTTTCTCACAACTTTTCCATCCTAAAATTGTCTGGCAATTGCAATCCGCAATAGTAAATTGTAAGTTATTTATCAAACCGTTAGTGAATTTGCATTCTAAATTACAAATACCGATATTTGGAATTAGTTCGCCTGAAAAAGAATATATGTTATTATGTGTGTTAAAAATAGGTATTTTTGTGTTTGTGGCTGAACAAAGTGTTTCAAAAGTTTGTTTAGACATTACATTTGTATCAGCACCTGTATCTATCCGACATTTTAATATATATCCATAACAGTCCACATCAATTTGCCAATCCTGATGTGATTTATTGATAGCGCTAATTATAAAGTTATTATTTTCAAAGGGTGAATTGTTACAGACAGTACTTACTTTATTAAGTTTAGGTTTGA